ATTTGCTGGCAGGCGTGGGTTACAAGCACATTCGAATAATCTGCTGCTTGCGAAAACCCGCGCGGCCTTTTACATTCGTGTGACCAGGTAGGGAGGTAGGTATGTAGGTATGTAGGTGTGTCCGTATGTAGGTATGTAGGTATGTAGGTATGTAGGTATGTAGGTATGTAGGTGGGGGAGTGGGTGGGTGGGTAGGTAGGTATGTAGGTATGCGCATGTGTGTAGGTATCTATGTATTTTGCATACAGGTGTATATGTGCATACACAGGTGCATACACTTATAGAAGCATACGGAATGCACACACACAGAGACATATATGTACACACGTGTATGTGCGTGTGTGCATGCAGACTTGTTTACTTACTCACCGTTTTATTTTTTTATCCATCAATTGCTTGTTTACCAGTTTATGCATTCGAGCATTGGTTTATGCTATCTGCTATCTATTTCGCTTACATTCATGTCTATGTGTGTGCATGCATGCTTAGTCGGCTTGCTCTTGTATGCAGGCAGCGTGATCCGCTAAACCCCTAGACCCTAAACCCTTATAGAACCCTATAGATCCCTTAAAGGAACCCTTTAGAGGACCCTAAAACGTGGAATAGAGGTCAATGCCTCTCGCTTGACAGGAGCCCTTCTGCGCGTGCACCCTCGGCAAGTTGAGGGAGGAAGATGTGGCAACCGAACTCTAAAACCCTAAACCCGAAAGACCCCAAACCCTAAATCCGAAGAGCTAAACCCTAAACCCTAAATCCGAAGACTTATAAACCCTAAACCCTAAATCCGAAGACCTTTTCCCGCGTCTGCGGGCGAAGCGTGGCTTTGGAGCCAGGCCGAAATTAGCGACTCTGAGTCCGAGGACGGCAGCGAGAGTTTCAAGGGCAGGCAGGTCGGGGGTTTTAGAATTTTTAGGGCTTTGGGGTTTTAGGGCTTTAGGGCTTTAGGGCTTTAGGGTTTTAGGGTTTTAGGGTTTAGGGTTTAGGGTTTAGGGTTTGTTTGGGAGTTCGGGGGTTGCAGGTGCTTGATTGCGCTTCGGCAAGGAGTTTGGCATCATGCATGTTCACGTACAGCCACTTGGCCTTAGAACTCCTTCAATCTGTGAGCGGCACTAAACATGTTGGGGGAAAGGAGTCTCCCCCCTCCCCCATATGTCTAGAATCTCTGTGCGCCGGCGATCCTCAAAGCAGCCGCCACCTTCCAGGCCAGTCGTGCAACGACCAGACCGGCCTACAGCCCTTGGCTTAGGGGAGGGCGGCTTTGCGTCTGCCCAGAACCCGGAAAGTATCCCCAACATATAATAATGTAGTTATCACATGTTACTGTTATCAATAGTAGTATTGTCATTACTGGTACTTGTACTATCATCTCTGCTGCCGCCATCACTATCCACCACGCCGTCCGCATCTATCATCGCTGCCGTCGTTAGCTTCATAGGGCTCCCGATGTTCTGAGACTGGTCTTAATCATGGGGAGATCGAGGTACTCATAGTCGCCGGGAGATTCTGGTCATAGCAATGAGCAGCAAAGTAGAAGTCGTGGCCGATCCCGCAAGCAAGATCGAGGGTTCGTGGAGTTTCTTCTTGCATTCCGCGACCCGCCAGGTCGACGTAGTAGTGAATTGGGAGCCAGCGGTAGCAGCATTGGAGAGGAGCAGCAGCAGTGTTTTGTCTTCCCTCCTTCTCATCATCCTCTTCCTCCTGGCAATCATCTATCGGCGTTTTGCGGAGGCAACATCAATGGTGAGAGGCCAAGACAGCAGCAGCAACAAGGGTAGCAGCAGCTGCGCTGCTCAGTATCAAGATCGACACCAGCTATGCTTGTTAGAATCTCTGACAGTACTACCGCTGACTACGGGCAGCATTCGCATCGAAGCAACTGCAGCCATGCATGAACTAGATGAATGCTCTCAGTCATGCGGCCACGATCAACATCGCATTTTTTCAGACATGCGCAGCGCCAATAGTCGTGAGGCCGGGCCGCCACCAAGCTCAGCCAAGAAGGCAGGGATGACAGGCCTGTCTGTCCGGTGGACGCTTTGTGATGAAGCTGTCCATGTCAGAAGCTGCCAAGCCATGTCCGATAAGCTCTGAGATGAACATACTTGGCAGCCTGAACTTCAAAGCCTCATGCCCCCCAAAAATTGGAAGCCCTGATCTCTCATCAGCACAACCTTTAATGCTTCATGATGATGGGGGGTTCCGGGGTTCAAGGTTGAGAACTGTGACTTCCACCAGGCGTTGTTGTTGGAAGCTCGCTTGGTCAAGATGATCTCTGAGGCCTCAAACTCCAAACTATGATGCCAAACCCTAGACCCCAAACCCCAAAACCCGAGACCCTAAACCCTAAACCCAAAAGCAACTTGACCCGGAACCCCCAAGCCTTCTGCCCAGAAGCTCTAGAACCCTACTCCCTACCTTGACCCCACAGAACCTACCTTTTTTTTGAGGACTTTTTTTTTAAGAAGAAATCATAATAAGGAGCCCTAAAGAGGTGGGTTTGAAACCCTAAACCCTAAGCCTTAGAAACCCTAAACTCGAAACCCCTAAACCCTTAATCCCCTAAGCCCCTCAACCCCTAAACCCCTAAAGAGAAATCATAATAGGGAGCCCTAAAGAGGTAGGTTTGATGGACTTCAGGTAACCCCTAAACCCAAATTCGTGTCCTTGGCGCCGAAGCTTCTCGAGAAGCCAGGACGGCCCAAAGGCCCTACGAAGCCTCTCCGTGCCAAGGCCACAGCTAGTAAAGCATTACCATGAATACTATTTTTCGGAGTTCCTTACACTATGACGAAAGTATAAATATACCCCCAAACCCAAGTCTGATGATTAAGAGCCCTATATTACCAGCCTAGGCTTTTTCAGGCTTCCGCAGCAAGTTCGAGCTGTTGGGCTGCGGCTTGGAGTTTAGAGTCCAAGTTTCGAGTTGGGGTTTCAGGTTTGTGGAATCTTTTTTTGACGTGATGAGAGCACTTTGAACTCTCAAGATCTCATCTCTCGGTCTCTGGCTAACACTCGTAGTCTGAGTCCAAGTCCTCGGGTTGCTCTCAGCATCCTTCTCCGGGGCGGCACTCTACATTAGGGGATCCCTTTTGGGATCCTTTTTTTTTATAAGGGTGCCGTACTTTATTGGGTCTAGGGGTTTGGGGGCTCGGGGCTTAGGTTTTAGGCTTCAGGGACAGAAGCTCATAGGCCCTTCCTCGCCTTGCTAATGGTTTGTACAGCTCTTTTTCGATAACCTTTGTTGTTATTCTGGTTCCCGTTCTACTAATTTCCACTTGAATTATCACGATTGTTGCTATGATTACATTTGTCATGATTGCTAGTCTTGTTATGATTATCATCATGTTTCCAAAGGCCTTCGCCGCATTTCACACAGCAGCTGTGTTCGAAGTGAAGTTCTTCTGCTCGTAAAGAAAGCCGCATCGGGAACTTATGGGAATTCAGATCCAAAGCCCAGGTGACAAATGATGTTGTGACAACCACGTAGAAGTATAGGTGTGGCAGCAACATGAGAGTAGCCATAGCGGCCAGAAACTATCAACCTCGACAAGAACAGCAGCATTTGAGGTACTCGCAGCCCCAACAAGAACTAAGCATGAGAGTCGGGATGTGTTTCGGCCTCCGACCTCAACACCCCCAGTTTCTAAGCCAAATTCTCGTCAAAATGCGCATACCCTAAACCCTAAGCCCTAATCCCTAAACCCTAAACCCTAAACCCTACGCTAAACCCTGAGCCCTAAGCTGCAATGCAGCATGCTGCGCAGGCAAGTGACGAGCTTTCGAGTTCCGAGTCGCCAAACGAGGCCGGAAACTGCGCCAAGTAGCTCAATGCAAGTTCTCTAGGGCTTCCAGGGTCTAGGGGTTTAAGGGTTTAGGGGTTTTAGGGGTTTGGGGGTTTGGGGGTTTAAGGGTTTAGGGGTTTAGGGGTTTGGGGGTTTAGGGTTGTGAAGCTGAAGGAACCTCATCCTGGCACTAGAACCCCAAAATCTTAGGATTCACATAAATCACCCGAATAAAGACACGGGGTTTCTTAATCAGGTTCCTATGTTACTTGTTTACCTTTCTGATAGTGTAGTATAGAAGAGTGGCAGTATCGTAAGAATCTAGGCCAGTCTAGTCGACTAGAAAAGTCGAGTAGAGTTTGGTGCAGCACAGTTTCGTGTGCGTAGTATATTTTTAATTAGTTTAGCAAAGTAGATTTTTAGTTTAGTAAAGTATAGCCTAGTATAGTGCAGTATAGTCTAGTGCAGTCTAGTTTAACCTAGTTTCGTCTGGCCTAGTCTAGTATTGTCCAGTATATTCTAGTGCCCTAGTCTGGTCTAGTCTTGTCTGGTTCAGCGTAGCCTGCCGTAGCTTTCTGCGCCAAGCCTAGCAGCAGAAGCCCCGAGCAGCGAGTTCACGCCAGGATGTTGATATCGCGCTGGTGTGACCAAGTCTGACGGCTGCAGCAGGCCAGCCCATCGAAATCCATCTGCTGCACCTGCTATGCCTACTCGGTCTTCGGAACACATCAAAAAGCTTTCACAGCAGCGCTACATCATGTATGTTTATGCATGTGTACATGTAAGTACATATACTTCTAGGTTTATACACATCCCCGCATATCACATGCATGCATGCATCTCTACATATACATATACACATATACACGCACTCACACAATTTGCACAGCTCGGTCCAGGAGACTCAAGCAGCCTGGTCACTGCCGTGCACTGGACGGATGCGCGGAAAAGAACTGTTGCTTCGATCGACACGGCAGCGGTTTCACCTGCGCAGACTCGCGAAGTGGATGCTCCGAGAGCCGCGGTGATCGCATCGTTCCGTCAGTCTTGGAAGTTCCTGAATCGCCTGCAATTGGCACTTTATGCTCGAAGGGTCTCAAGGACTGAGGATCAGCCCCGTGATCTTGCACACTTGGAGCTACCGCGAACTCCAGCTGAGAGGATGGTGTCCCGGGCCCTTCTTGTAGCTCTCCTGCTGCCAGTCTGCTCTGCTATCACTTGGGCGACCAGGACATTGATTGGTAGTCCGTTGCTCTGAGATGTCTTCCCTTGCCTTCATTCCGCATGCATCTGGGGTGGGTTTCTCCCCTTGCCGCGTGAGGTGAAGAGTGCTGCTGGGGCAAGCTGCGATCAGGCTTGTGCTGCCCGCTCTGGGTGCAACGACGACGCGTGGCCGTCTTCCGAGGAGGAGTTCCATGACGCAGCAAAGCTTGCAGGCCAGTCTTGAGAAGCAACATCTTGCAAGGTGTAGGCCCAGTGTAGGCATGTGAGCTGTGTGGTCTTGACAGCGTTCCAGGTCAAGTCTGCGAGGGCACGCAGACTGGAGGGGCCAAGTATGATCCCAGCACGGATGGCCGTTACTGCGGCTGGCAGGGGCCAGAACACATGAACGGAGAGAGCAGGTGCTCCCAATCTGGTGACTCCGGCACATACCGCTTCTGTCCGTGCAATGCAGATAAGGAGCTTTAGCTAGGCTGCCCAGCGCCAGAAGCCGTTGGGAAGATGCTCCCGCAATTCGCTGCATGCTCTGATCGTGCTGTGGGAGTCCCGCTAGAAGGACTGCACAGGCCAATCAGAGGTTCTCATAACCAGAGAGCCCATGAAAAGACTGCCTCTTCGGCATGCAGCCTCTCCGCATGATGGAAAACGCGCTGCGCCCTGAACGACCTTTCAAGGGACCTGTTTCGAGCCTGTGTGGTAATGGCATGAAATGGCGAACAGGAGAATCATGTGCACTTGAAGTATACATGCAGCTGCTTTGTTCAAAGGGGGCTCGCCGCTGGCTTGGAAGCACCACGAGTGGTGCTTCAGAACGGGCAAGCCAGGCGAATTAGGTTCTAACCTGCCTAGGTCGGTTGCAAAAGGCTTGGGTATAAACTTCCAGAAATGCTAACGGTGTTTGCCTAGCTCTACGCTGTACTTGGTAGCGTGGGTAACCGGTGAGAAGCGCATTGTTCTTCCCACATCATCCGGAATCTGGGTTCTTGGTCAGGGACCTCTGCGAAGTTAGCATACAGTAACAGGAGGTGCATATGGTTACTGACTTTACACCTCTCTCTCTCTCTCTCTCTCTCGATCGATATACATATATATATATATAGGTAGGTAGATCAGCAACTAATATCAGCAAGGTCCCGTAACAAGAACCCAGGAATAGTTGCAGCCATGGTCCTCACCGAAAACGAGCCGGTCACTGTGCAATACGCGTCAGATTTCGTGTCGCTGGACCAGGAGAGCTGCCGTACCTGCTTGCATGTCTTAGGGTTTAGGGTTTTAGGGTTTAGGATTTAGGATTTAGGATTTAGGGTTTAGGGTTTAGGATTTAGGGTTCAGGGTTTAGGGGTTTAGGGTTTAGGGTTCATGAGTTAACATTGTTCTTTAGGCTCGGGTTCCTTCCAGTAATCTGCAGCAAAACCCTGTTCCAATTTGTTAAGAGCCCTGTATCACATGGCCCCTCAAATGGTCTAAGACATGCAACTCGAAAGGCAGCATGCTATATTTGTGGGGTGAGGAAGTTTATTTTTAGGCCTGGAGTTATATGACAACACCAGTCACAGCGCAACAATGTTCCCCTTGCCACGCTGATGAATTGAGCCCATGCTGCTTGAAATCTCCGGGCGTTGCGTCCCGCCCAACCTGAAGTCCAAGCCTCGAAATGTCGAAACCTTCATTTTGTGAACTTTGTCAGCTGCCCTAAACCCTAAACCCCAAGCCCTAAACCCGAAACCCTAAACCTTAAGCTGCTGTGCTTGTCAGGCAGTGTCTGATCTTCAAGCACCCAAGCCCGAGCCGGGACCTTACTGGCTAAGGTGGTTCGAGAGATTTCGTGTACGGTTCGGTCTTGCGCTGTTCGAGCATGTACCTATCTTAGTCATATCGTTCGTCTTCTGGTTCTAGAGGCCTCGCCAGGTCACAAAATTATCGTCAAATCACCTCTACAGCTACCTTCGACACTGAAGATCTCCATCTGGGGCTTGCTGGGGGAGATGCCAAACCGGTAAGGTCTGCAGAAGCCTGGCTCGTTGATACCATATTCCACTTACAAGACACCTCGCCCCAGTCCACTAAGTAACCCGTCGGCACACCAGCCCGACAAATATCAAGCCAAAAATCCCAAGCCCAAACCCCAAGCCCCAAATATCAACCAAAACATCCCGAAACCATATTCCCAAAACCCCGTTATACCCATATGCCAAATATCAACCCGTATATCTTAGCCCGAAATCCCCATAAAACCATATTCCCAAAAACCCAAGCCCAAAACCACAGAAAAACACCTTCCCCCATAAATCCCCGCTATTCCTCAACCCAAACCCCCAAGCCCAAAACCCAAGAATAACAATAAGCCTTAGACTGGGGTAAGGTGTCCCTCTAATGAAATTTAATATCATATTATAGTAATATTAAACTACATATTATAAACTATCTTTATACAGAATTTTGAACTATCATCTCATTTAAGAACTCATTTGTTTCTTCTACATAATCATAATGTAACTTGTTGTTTCTATGCAAATAGTATACTATCTTCATGAAAATATGATATACTCTTTGATAATAATCAAAATAGCCACATAGAGTATCTTCAAAATAATTCTTTTTCTCTTGATGCCATTTATAGAAGTCAAAATTATCAAGGTTCTCATACATTGTTTTCATTTCACTGTGTAAGTCAAGTGTATAATTTTTCTTTTGGACATCATCTCGCATTATTTCATGAACNNTAACTTAGTAAAGGGTAATATATAATCATCAAATAAATGCCTTAACTTACAACATTTATCACAACAGTAGTAATCTGCAATCTTGTCTTTAAAAATATGTAAGACGTCGCATTTATCTAATATGTTTATCTGTTCATTCTTAACTGGTATGCATGTATCACAATTGTTGAAATAATTAAACTTTCGTATCTCACTATAAACCGTATCATCTTCACTTTCACTTTCATATTCGCTTTCATAATCACTCTCATGTTCATACTCGCTCTCACTCATTACTAATATACTAAGGTTTTATCCCTTTAAGCCGTTTTGGGTCAAGTTTTTTCGCCATCCAAACCATGATAAATACACGCCGTGATCCAAACCATGATAGATACACGCCGTGATCCAAACCATGATAAATACACACAGTTTTTCGTGGTTTGGGGCAAGGTTGTTTTAATGAGTTTTAATATTATCAAATAATATTAAATCGCATCTCATTCTTCGCTTTTAGCGGGTGTTTTAAATTGATATTTCTCTTCTTCCTTATTAAATTCAATATCGTAATACTTTAACGTGTCTTCCTTGGGGACTTT